TACACTTTTATACTCATGGCTTGACTAATATTTCTGCTTCTTGGTGTGTCAAGCCCTTATCCTCTTTAGCAAAAATCTACCTCTAAAATTGCATTCCAGACTTATAGAAAGAATTCATTCCATCTTTCTCTGTTTCTTCATGGCACTTTGTCTTTACTGCTAATATACAATATTTAGTTGCTTATATTCAGTCTAGTGACCGTAAGAGGATTTGAGACAACGCATAAGAAAGTGCATGCTCATCATAACAGAAAACTATTAACATAGATTGAAGGGATTTAAATAAAAAACCTTGATTGGGGAAACCTGTGGCATCAGGATATAAAACTTAGCGATATGCTCTCTAATTACCAGGATAAAAAAAGAAACATTAGGAATTACATGGCTCTTATTTTCAAGTAGAAGGAAGTAGGTTTATCAGGTGTTAAACTTAAGACAAATCAATTTAACAGAGTTTGATTGAGCAAAGAATTCTTCACAAATTGGGCAGCCCCCAGAAGCGGAATTGGTTCACAGTGTCTTTAGCACTGTACCTGGTCAGACAATATTTATGAGCAGAAAAGGGAAAGTGAGGTACAGAAAAGGGAAATGGGGTACAGAAACAGCTGGATTGGTTACAGCTCAGCATTTGCCTTATTTGAACATGGGTTCAACAGTTGGCCACCTATGATTGGCTAAAACTCTGATTGGTACAAGAATAGGTTACAATCTCTTTACACTTCCAGTTAGGTTACACTTTACTATGTACAAAGAGACTTTCAGGCTGAACTTAAAATATGTGAGGAAGAAGCTTTAGGCTAAATGCAATTTAACACAGGAGAGGGAGATTCATATTTCTTCTCATTGGGGTATCATGCCCTGAGCCCAGAAATGCATTTTATTTATTTATTTATTTATTTATTTATTTATTTATTTATTTATTTATTTATTTATTTTTGAGACGGAGTCTCTGTCACCCAGGCTGGAGTACAGTGGCTGCAGCCTCCACCTCCTGGATTCTAGTGATTCTCCTGCCTCAGCCTCCCAAGTAGCTGGGACTACAAGCACATGCCACCACGCCTGGCTAATGGCTAATTTTTTTAGTAGAGACGGGGTTTGGGGATTCACTGTGTTAGCCAAGATGATCTCGATCTCCTGACCTCTTGATCCACCCGCCTTGGACTCCCAAAGTGCTGGGATTACAGGCATGAGCCACTGCACCTGGCTGAAATGCATTTTTAATTAGTATTTATATAAGTGACTATAAAAGGACTGCTTGTTTTAACAATAAAGAATTAGTTGTTTCTGATACCCTAACAACTGTAGGTAAGTGACTCCGGGATTAGCTGACTGTGGCCTTAGCAACATCATCAAAGCCCCAGGTTTTTTCTACTCCGTCCCCTCAGCGCATTAACCTCATCTGCAGGCTACCATCCCTCATCAATAAAAAGTAGTTCTAGGCATTACAGTTCATGACAATGCCACTGACACATAAGTAATCTTCTTCCTTATGTCTTTTTTAAGATCGAGGCAATCCTTATCTGGAAATCATTGCAGTAGATGTCTTCTTATGTCTAATTGGCCAGAATTCCTTAAACATGCCCCTGCTGAAAGTAGTCATTGACCAGGGGGATGGGATCTCCATTACTGATTATTGAACTACTGGCATTGGGGGTCTGGGATCAACTTTTTCTGAAATAGTGGTAGCATGGAAGAAGAGGAAAACTGGACAGATTCAGGGTTCAGTTGGGAAAGAGGCTGATTATATAGACAAGCAGAGTGTCCACTACAGAGCCCAACTGAATAGTGTCAGTTTTGTCTTATGTGAAACAACCCATAAATTGTTTCTTCTCTTTTTTTTTTCTTTTTGATATGGAATCTCACTCCATTGCCCAGCCTGGAGTGATCTCGGTTCACTGCAACCTCTGCCTTCCAGGTTCCAGCAATTCTCTCATCTCAGCCTCCCTAGTAGCTGGGATTACAGGCACGTGCCACCACGCCTAGCTAATTTTTGTATTTTTAGTAGAAATGGGGTTTCACCATGTTGGCCAGGCTGGCCTTAAACTCCTGACCTCAAGTGATTTGCTCGCCACGGCCTCCCAAAGTGCTGGGATTAGAGGCGTGAGCCACTGCACCCGGCCTGTAAATCATTTCTTATATAAACCTAGCTGAAAGTCAGTTACATAGCAGTTAAAAAAAAAAATCATTATTAAACAATTTATTGGAGGCCAGAGGTAAAAAAATATATATATAAATAGGAAGCATATTGGTGGTTTGGCCTAACATAGGACTGGGGTTAACAGAGTGTGTGCCCCCCACAACTTCCTCAGCAACGTTAGCATCAACATTATGGAGGAAATGATGAGAAAGCATCACAGAGGAACTTGTGAGAAATGCAGATTCTCAGGCTCCATCAAAATCTACTGAATTAGACACTATGGGAGTGGGGCCCAACTGTGCTTTTAACAAGGCCCTTCAGCTGGTTGAGCTGAAAGCTCAAGTTTGAGAATCGCTGATATTGGACATTAAGAAAATGACTTGAATACTTGGCCTTTGTCCCAACTATCCCTCCTGTGCACACAGATGGGCTCCAGGTAGAGTGGAACTAAGCTTTTTTTAGACAGTTGCACTTATTCTGTTCAGGTGCCAGAATAAAGGCAATTTTAAAGCACCCAAATTTGATACCCTGAAGTAGTGAAAAATTCATTTAGACTACAAAAATTTTGAGGAAAAATACTGTTTATCAGTGCTCAATGAATGTTTGTAAATTCAGCTTTTTCTCATCTGTAAAATGGCTGAATTACTTAGGGCAGAGTTTGTATAAATTAAATGAAAGGTATTATTACTACAAGTACCTTTAAACCCAGAAATGACAAAAGGTTTCACTTTTTTCATGCTAACACCTGTTGGTTCTGTTTAGCTGGTTGAAGCTTCTTCTTGAGAAAGATTCTTACTTAGCAGGCTGGAGTGCCTGGATCTATTCGGTGATTTCTGCCTTAAGTTTAGAATGGAGGAGTGGCCACTTATATTCACGTTAGTCATTCCTATTTTAAACTGTTGGGTTTACTATTTTTATTAGTATATTACTGCATGCACAGTCTACACACTTTAGTTTATTAGACATCTATTAATTCTTACATGTCTTTTATGTAAAGCATGATTGTCTATCTTTAATCTTTGTCAACAAAATGAGATTTGACTTTTAATTGGAAATTTTTCTGCAGGACAGTTTTAACTTTGGGCTTTTCAGCCTCCCAAAGTACTAAGATTACAGGTGTGCACCACTGTTCTCTGTCTTAGGGTGATAAATCTTTTAGGGAAGGCAGAACAGAGAGCATTCACTATATGAGTAAGTTAACAGATTTTGGAAAGCAGTGGAAGAATTTGATGCAAAATAAAGCATGCTTTCGTGCAGATCCATAGTCATTGCAGTTAGAATTCAAGTTTGCAATAGACATAAATTGACTAGTGTAAAGGAACCCCATATTATTCAGTTCTAAAATACAAAGTGGGATGTAGACCTTTTTAAGACATTTCACTTTATTAAATAGCTTTTGGGTTGATAGAATAGTGTAATTTTCTCACTTTGTGTCGGAGTCCATTGGCCAGCTACTTGTGCTACACTGTATTATATCATGGCAGACAAAAGCATTGCAGCCCCAGGTCAAGGGCATGCAGTGAGTTAGGAATTGAGTTCCTGCCATTTTTCAGGACTTCTGATTTCTAGCCTGAGGTTCTTTTTGATCCCACCAGTGGGCACTAACTGAATCAGAGGCAGTCACTCCAAACATTGCTTTTTTAATGATAGGAAATAGAAACAAAAGGCACTTGTTTCCACTGCAAGAATGAGCCTGATCAAGTTTTCTGGTATCAGCACCTGTGTTAGTTCTCTATGAAAAGCTATTTACACAGCTGAGTCAGGAATTGTCCTTCACCTGTACTTGCTACAAAGCAACAGAACCCAAACTTTCTTTGCCACTGTTTATTCGTTAAGAACTTATGATCATGCTGGGCGCGGTGGCTCATGCCTGTAATCCCAGCACTTTGGGAGGCCGAGGTGGGCGGATCACGAGGACAGGAGATCAAGACCATCCTGGCTAACACGGTGAAACCCCGTCTCTACTAAAAATACAGAAAATTAGCCGGGAATGGTGGCGGGCGCCTGTGGTCCCAGCTACTCGGGAGTCTGAGGCAGGAGAATGGCGTGAACCCAGGAGGCGGAGCTTGCAGTGAGCCGAGATCATGCCACTGCACTCCAGCCTGGGTAAGAGCGAGACTCCATCTCGGGAAAAAAAAAAAAAAAGAACTTATGTTCATGTTGATAAATTACTGAATTCTCCTGTTACAAGTTAGGAAACAGTGGGGTTTGTTCCATCAGTTTGATTCACTAGACTGTTGATTTCTGGTCTCCCTAGAATCATTGTTGACTGAACAGGAAACTGTTTCTGTTATCTCTGCTAATAGTAAAGAGCACGGTGCAGATATTCAAAATAAATGATGTGTAACTACCCAGAAAGTACAAGTGCTATCAGGGACAGATTCCTCATAGCACAGTAATGTCATTTGGAACACAAGGTAGATTGTTACATAATTAATATGTTTGTGATATCTAAATTATTGCATGTTTAAAATTCTGTAGATGTGAAAATTTTGGGGAAGAAGAAGTATTTTTTAAGAGTTTATGTCATTTTTTAATAACATATAAAGGGTATGCATGCATTACTTTGTCAGCTGATGTTTCATTGTTTCAGAAGTTGCGTGTAAATAAATTACTATCTGAAATGCCCAAGTAAAATGCTGTAAAATGTTTTAGTGTGGCCCTTTTTATAGTGACATATCTTTTCATAATTCAAAAATTTTGTTAAATTTTAAATCTAAATTGTCTAGTCTTTTTCTCACATTTTGGTGTGAGAAACTAAGAACATAGAATTATTCATGTTCTTAGTGATTTTAAGGGCTTATTTTTAAGTGTATTATAGATATTTTTTATTTAAAACATGTTTTTTAAAAAATTATTATAGCTGTATGTTGATGTCTCATCTTGAGGAACCAAAAGTAACAGAAGATGAAGAACCACCCACAGAACAAGATAAGAGGAAAAAGATGGTAAGTTATAAAAGTAGCTTCTAAAAATGAAGAACCATATATTATCATTTTCTGTAGGTTCAGAAATATCTCGTCTGTTTGTCCATCCAGCTATATATCTATCCATCTATCCCATGTTACAAAATTAATGTAAAGTGTACCCTAAAACAGATACGTTTTATTCCTAGTACAGAAAGTTAAGGATAACTTTTCATCTGAAAAAACTGTTGCTTGTCTTACTGCAGAGCAGATGATTTAGTGTTTTACTTGTGGAAAGTGTGTGACCTGCAAACCTTATTTAAGTGGAAATGTGTGTTCTTCTGTTTTGAGGAGATGTGCTGAAATTTCCTTGCATTGCCTATTGTTTTATAGATTTTCACATGAACTTTTGCTGACCTGCATCATAGGCTTTTATAAAAATGCCCTTAAATTAACCACAACTAGTTAAAACCACTAATTCTCACCAGAGCAATCTGATAAGGGGAAAAGAACAAAAAAAAGGGAAATACCTAAAATATCTTGCCTTTTAAAATTATATATAATCTTGAATGTTTAAATATTTATTTTGACCGTGAATATAAAATAGGTACATAGGAAACTTTTTCCCCTTTTCTTTTGGAATCTTTTCTTGTCTTCTGGCCTCATCATTTAACTAACTTTATTATACCTTCTTTCCTCATTTGCAAAATGAAAACAATTGTATCTGCCTCATAGATAGAATAAATAAATATTTAAAATGGTTATGGATACCTAGTAATTACTCTGTTAGCTATCATTTTAATCTGATCATTGTATTTACACCTTGCATTACAGCACGTTAGCCTTCAATGGCTTCATCCTTAGCTTATAGCTAACATCGCACTGCTCTTAGAGCATGTGCAATGCTCTTCTTTTAAACTGTTTGAATTTAACTCATTTTACTTTGCTTTACGCTAGGTATCATCTCCCTAGCACATAGTATAGAGGACAGGACAACATCCAGGGATTCTTAAGACCTGAATTCTAGTCCTTGTTGTACTATTACTTGTAACCTTGAGCAAGTCACCTTGTCTTTGTAGATCCGTTTTGCCTCATCTGTGAAAAGCGGCAGAAATTGGATTAGCAAATTTCCAGGGCCTATGAACTGAAAAATTACTGTTAAAACTCTTAATGTCATTCCTTTTCTTCCCCCAAAACAATGTTTATACATGTAATAAGTCCTCATTTAACATCATTGATAGTTTCTTGGAAACTGTAACTTTAAACAGAACAACATATAATGAAACCAGTTGTACCATGGGCTAATCTAAACAAGAAGCTCCTACAGCATATTTCTGGTCACAAAAAACATCACCAAACTTCTAAATAAAGATCCAAAACACTTCTAATATTTAACATTGAAGTAAGTGTGAGCTGTACATACATTTAAGAAATATTAATAAAAACAAGTTAAATTATTTTCCCCCTTTTTTGGGGAATCAGTGAGTGATGATGGTTGTGGTGGTAAGTTAAATCAAGGAATAAATGTTTGCGAAGTGAAAATTGTAAGGAGCACCTCCTACTACCTTGCAGTTCAAAAACAAAAAGAACAAATCTGGCGAGCTTGCTGAAAGCTTTCATACAGCAGCATTTATATGCATTTGTATGACCATAATTTGTATTCATTCATTCCTTTATTTTTCCAACCCACTTATTCTGCTTTAGGGTAGTGGGTAGCTGGAGCCTATCCTAGCAGCTAAGGGTGCAAGACGGGAACTAGTCCTGGATAGGACACCATTTCCTGACAGGGTGCACTTGCACACACTCACACTCACTCAGATGGGAACAATTTAAACACGCCAGTTTACCTAATGTGCACATCTTTGGGATGTGGGAGGAAACTGGAGTACCCAGAGAAAAGCCACACAGACATGGAGAGAACATGCAAACTCCACACAGACAGTGGCCCCAGCCCGAATCTATTTGTTTTTCTTATCAAAGTTATAATGAAATGATGTTAGCAAGGACCTGCTGCACAGTCATGCACTGCTCAACAACACAACATTTTGGTCAACAGCAGACTGCATACTGTAGTGGTCCGATAAGATTATGATACCATATTTTTACTGTACCTTTTATGTGTTTTGATGTGTTTAGATACATAGATACCACTTTGTTATAGTTGCCTACGGTATTCGCTACAGTAACGTGCCGTACAGATTTGTTGCCTAGGAGCACTAGGTTATACCATATAGCCTAGGTGTGTAGTAGGCTGTACCATCTAGATTCCTGTAAGCACACTCCATGATGTTTACACAGGGAACTTGCCTAATCATGCGTTTCTCAGAACATATCCTCATCTTTAAGCAATGTATGACTATATTCCTTTGAAATTAAACTGTTGTGTGGTTTTTTGTTTTGTTTTGTTTTTTGTTTTGCAATGGAGTCTCGCTCTATCACCCAGGCTAGAGTGCAGTGGTATGATCTCGGCTCACTGCAACCTCCGCCTCCCAGGTTCAAGCAATTCTCGTGCCTCAGCCTCCCGAGTAGCTGGGACTACAGGTTGTGGATACACACCGTTACATTTATTAAGACCCATAGAATAGACTACAGGTGCATGCCACCATGTTCGGCTAATTTTTTTGTTTTTTTAGTAGGCACGGGGTTTTGCCATGTTGGCCAAGCTGGTCTCGAACTCCTGACCTCAGGTGATCTGCCCACCTTGCCTCCCAAAGTGCCGGGATTCCAGGTGTGAGCCACCATCCCTCACCTATGTGGGATCTTAAATACATGGAAAGTATTTTTTTTTTTCACCTACAGTAATAATAACCTTTAAGTATAGGCTAACATTTGTCTTTCTGCCACTCACACCCCCACTTTGTCATTCTAATTATATGTAGTATTGGTTTATAGAACAACCATTATTTTTTTAAGTGACTGATTTTATTTGAAGTTATTTACTGCAGTAGGTATTTAATATAGATTTATATTGTCATCTCTAGTAAGATTTCTAGTACCTTGGTCTTGCTCTTGGATACCCACTGCTCTTGGATATGCTGAGGATACCACAGCAGTTTTTGACTGAAGCTGGGATTGTGTATTGTAACATTTAATAAATCTAATTATGAATTCATGCTAATTTTCCAACAACTTTAAACAAATAAAATTTGTTTCCCTTGTCTCTTAGAATTATAAGTTAATGTATTTTTTCAGTAATTATGTCATTCTTGAACTGTGTTGTCTATAACGTTAGACATTTTTTGAGAACTATCCAGTGATATCTTGGTTGTTTCTTCAAAGGGAAAGAGTAAGTATTTGCTGGTAAATGGTTATGAATTATTCTTTACAAAAAAAAAATTAACAACAAAGGTTATTCTCATTTTAAAATGAAATTATTTACTAGGAAGAAAAATATAGCTGCTTAGTTCCAAGGTCACATAAATGAAAATTTGATTGGCTTACTGTCATTGTTGTCTTAAAGTAGTCCCTAAAATGTGGTGTCTGTGTTTCAGCAGCTGCTTTGGTAGAGAATAGCAGTAGTGATTGTAGTTCAGAAAGGCAGATGATTAATATTATATGAAATGTGCCAAATAATTTTCCATAGGTTTCTGAGAATTCTCTATGTTTTATTTCAAATAAGGATGAAATTTACACTCAGGAAAGCTATTAAGCTGTCGAGACTTTTGATCTCCCTTTTCATTCAGCCTCTCTCTCTACCTTTCATTGCAGTGAAATAATACTTACAGTAGCAAATGCAGCTCAAGCATTTCATTTAATATATGTTTCCTTTCTGTCCAGTATATTATTATAGTAGAATAATTCATGACCTTTACTATAAAGACTTGAGCTAATATATTAATATCTTAAGTTTTTTGTAATTTTTTGAAACCTGACTTATAGTCACTTATAAGTTGTAATTTCAAAATTCTAGTTTTGAGCACTTTAATGCTTTCTCGCAACTCTATGATACCAGCTAACAAAGTATTATTATTATTATGTATGTATGTATTTATTTATTTTTTAAGATAGTCTTGCTCTGTTGTCCACGCTGGAGTGCAGTGGGTGCAAACATGGTTTCCTCAGCCTCGACTTCCTGGGCTCAAAGAACCCTCCTGTCTCAGCTTCCTGTGTAGCTGAGACCACATGTGCATGCCACTACACTAATTTTTACATGTTTTATAGAGACAGGGTACCACTTTGTTGCTTAGGTTGGTCTCAAACTCTTAGGCTCAAGAGATCCTCTCTTGTCAGCCTCCCAAAGTGCTGGGATTACAGGTATGAACCACTCCACCCTCCCTATTTTTTCATATTTATTATTACTTGTTCTCTCTTTTTTTTTAAATGGGCAAATGAAAACTGTATGGATCTGTGGTATACAACATGGTGTTTTAAAATATGTGTATATTGCAGAATGGCTGAATCAAGCTAATGAGCAAATCTGTTACCAGTTGAGCTCATTCAGAACGAGAAGAGTTGGGCCAGGCGTGGTAGCTTATGCCAGTAATCCCAGCACTTTGGGAGGCCGAGGTGGGCAGATCTCTTGAACCTAGGAGTTCAAGACCAGCCTGGGCAACATAGCTGAATCCCACCTCTACAAAAAACAAAACAAAACAAAACAAAACAAAAAAAAAAACAATAGCTGGGCGTGGTGGCATGCACCTGTAGTCCCAGCTACTTGGGAGGCTGAGGTGGGAGGATTGCTTGAACCTGGGAGACGGAGGTTGCAGTGAGCCAAAATCATGCCACTGCTACTCCAGCCTGGGCAACAGAACAAGACCCTGTCTCAAAAAAGAAAAAAAGGAAAGGAAAACCCTTATGTCTCATTACAAACCACTGAAGTTGAAATGTTGTGCAGGGCCGAGCACGGTGGCTCACATCTGTAATCCCAGCACTTTGGGAGGCCGAGGCAGGCACATCAATAGGTCAGGGGATCGAGACCACCCTGGCTAACATGGTGAAACCCTGTCTCTACTAAAAATACAAAAAAATTAGCTGGGCGTGGTGGCATGCTCCTGTAGTCCCAGCTGCTGGGGAGGCTGAGGCAGGAGAATCGAGTGAACCTG